CCGGAGCCGTGGGGTCGAGGCGAACACCCGGACAGCCCGCGCCGGAAGCGGGAGGCTGAGAGCTGACCTCGCGAGACGCTGGGCACTCAGACTATACGGGGCACTCAGAGTTCAGAGGGTCAAGACGCCAGGGCACTAGCGGGGGTCGGGGCGCGATTTCTGAGCAAAAGAATAAAAACCCCAAGTCAGGGCGTGGAACCCTGACAATCAAGAGGCAGCATGCAAGCAAGGATAAGACACTGGAAGGGCCTGTACATCAGAAATGCGGCTTCCTCCAGGGCCCTCACCAGGGGGCTCCCCAGGCCAGTCCAGAGCGAACAAGCTGCGGCCTCCGCGTGACATAAGGTCGAGGGGTGACCGCCGAACCCCGCAGAGCAGCTCGAGCCCAGCACAGCCTGGAGAGCGCCATCTTCTCGGCGAGGGAGGGGGAGGAAGGGTCTTCTTCAGGTCAAGGTTCACCGTGATGCGCGTCCCTTTGACGGCGCATGCGCATTTCTTGAGAGCTGATTGGCAACCACAGACCGCTGGCCTCGCGCTAACCCGGCACTGAACGCGTCCTGAGGCCTGAGTGCAGAAGCAGGGCCAGGATTGGACGCAGCCATACTTCCTGCTTTCAAGGCGCCGGAAGCAGGCGATCCCCGATGGAGCAAGTGCTTCTGCCCGTGGTAGGCTCTGTGATCTTGAGGACGTCCTCTCTCTGAGTGACCCCTCTCGATTCCCTAGGGCCGCGCTTGCCCTCTGTCCGAGTCTCCTGCATCGGCGCCTGGACGCGGTACGTGCCAGATGTCCATTTGGCAATGTCTGGAGCCACGGCGCCTCCTGGCTGCTGGGAGGACCCGCGGCGCCCTCTAGTGGCGGCGGCGTGCCTAGGCCGGGAGCCACCCGTGGCCAGTTAACATCTGGTGGCAAAGGTCGGGAGCCTGGGAGCGGCCCCTGGGCGAACCGAGTCGGCTTTTCCCTTTGTCGGCGTTTCCCTTTGTCGGCGTTAAAATAATACAGTAAGGAAATGTCTTTCCTTAAGCGCCTCTTGCAGACCAAGGTCGGGTCTCAGCTTGAATGTCATTTTTCTTCTGAAAGTTTTTCTCTGACCCAAGGACACACATTTTCTCTGTCACCCTGTGTATTTTTTTAATAGCACTTACCACTGACATCGTTTATATGTTTTGTTTCCTTGTTTGGCAGGCTCCCTAACTAGGCTGAGGGAAGTGTTCTGTCTCGTTCACTGCTATACCCTAATTAATTTTTAACAAATTAATTAATAACTGAAACTGGGAAGGGTTCCCAGAAGTGGCACTTAGCTGCCTCCAACAGTTAAGACCTCTTGAATACATATGAACCCTTTGAGTGCCAACCAATATCCTAGGAACCATGCTAAAATTGCCAAGGCATTTTTGCTGATTCTACAGCAGTTTAGGGAAAAAATTATGAATCGCAAGTAAGTGAAGTTACATATTTAAAAACTTAAGGAAACCTTTACTACATTGACATATTTAGCAATATCATCATCACTAATAAAAGCAGACTTAGAACTGGATACCATTTCAAAGCTTTGATAGCGCTCCCGGCACTTTTGGCGAAAGACAGGAGGAGAGAAAC